CAGGTTGCCCAAAGTGACAGGAGAAGCCAGAAATGTGGAGTTTTATATGAAATCACCTGACCTTTTACTGTTGGCTCACAGCTTAAAAAACACTTTGCAAGCCAAACAAAACACACGTGTGCGCTGGATTTGGCCCGGTCTCGTCCCCGGCTGTCAGCCCACAGCCTGTCTTTTAAGCGTCCTGTGCCAGGAGCATCCCAACTACAGGCCAGTCCATACCACATAGCAGTGTTTTCTGGGGCTTCCCGTGACCCCAGGAAGGGCAGGTGCACTCCACAGGGAACGGCCGGGGACTTGGGACAGCTGCAAAGGAGTGGCACCGATTTATACTAACCCCCCACGTCCCACAGCACGTTGTGCTCTCTGTTCTTCCCAGCAGACCCTCCAAGGGCAACATCCTCATAGCCTTGATCTTCAGACACACCCAAGGTCACTGGGGCTGCCTCCAGCACCATCTGAACTATGTGACTCGGTTTCCCAGCTGCCCACTCCCTCGGCCCCCATGGTGAAGTCCCCAGCCCTGTTTGTTGTAAGGATACTATCAGTGCCCCCAAGCATGGGGAGATGGCGAGGCTGGCCAAGCGTCACTGCCACCGCCCGGGTCCCCAGATTGTCGTCCCTCCCTCGTTGGCTGTGGGAGCCTCCGCAGCCTTGGCTGGCGGGGGGGGCGGAGCTTGGGGGTTGAGGGTGGTAAATCTCCAACTGTGTCTTTTTTTTTTTTAACTCCAATTACAGAAAATTCCAAATAGATACAGAAGCGGAGAAAATGACAGAGGGAACCCACAGCTTAATGGCAGTGCGGGGGCCACTCGTTTCTCCTCTAACTGTCCCACTTCCAAATAGATACAGAAGCGGAGAAAATGACAGAAGGACCCCACAGCTTAATCGCAGTGCGGGGGCCACTCATTTCTCCTCTAACTGTCCCATGTCCTGCCCCTCCCACTCAGCAGATGATGTCTACACAAATCCCAGCCACAGCATTCCAGCCACAAATACTCCACCGCGTTGTTACTCTGACAGTAACCCGAATCCCACGATCGCACCCCAAAAATCACACGTCAAATAGCGTCAAATATCCAGGAATGTTCCAATAATCCCAATTGTCCCTGAGATTTTTTTTTTTTAAACGATTGCCCTATTCAAATCACAGTACAAAATCCACATGTTGTCTTTGGTTGCTGTCTCTTACCTTCGGTTTATAGTTTCTCCTCGATTTTTTTGCCCTGAAAGGTATGTGTTGAAGAAACTGAGTTTCTTCCGTTTGTCCGGGAGAGTTTCACAGTCTGGAATTTGTGGAGTGTGTCCTCACGGTGCGTCGAGCTTGTTTCTCTGTTCCCTGTCATTCTCCCAAAATGGTAGTTACATGCAGAGGCCTGGTCGGATTCACATTTGGTTTGGGGCAAGAACACTTTGTGGGTGGCTCTGTGTTCATGCATCAGGCGGCAGGCACAGGCTGCCCTGGTCCCCTCTCTTTTGGGCTGGCCCTCCAATGGATGAGGCATGTAGCCCACAGCTTCGGGGGGAGGGGGAGGATTATGGGGGCGTACATGAGGGCTTGGAAGAGGGCCTGGGGCAGAGTCTCTGCCTGACTGACCTGGGGACACCAGGCACCGTGTGAAGTGCTTTCTGGTTAGTTCTGCCCCCTTTACCCAAGGACAGTACTGCGCCCTGGAGGTGAGGTGGCCTGCTGGGGGAATGGGGTCACACAGGAAGAGAGGGATGGAGCTGGGCTTCAAACCCAGGCCCTTCAGTGCATGAACCTGTCTATGCCACACTGCCACCCTGGGAACTAAGCGTGTGCGCGCACACACGTAGTTAAGTGGTGGACAGAGTTACCAGGACCCCAGAAGGGAGTCCCAAAGCCAAGACGAACAAGGTAGGGAGGGAAACTTCGTCCAAACAGACATTCATTTGAGGTTAGTGGTTGGGTCAAGGATGTAGCACCACACCCCTCCATGCGAATGATGTCCAGGGAGCCGGTGGCAGGCAGTCTACCTGGTTGTGTTGGGGCATGTGTCGCGATGGAACCGCCCACTCCTGACCTCTCCAGCCTACCTGAACCCCCCAAGCCTGCCACCCTGGACCTTCAAGGCCAGAGAGGTGGGGATGTTGGGTGCAGCTCTCTGTGCACTCATGAGTTCCTTGGCCTCCAGGGGCCTCCTCCTGGCTGTAAAATGGGCCTGAGCTTGCTTCCCAGGCCCCTCCCTGGGAGAAAGAGCTAGAGAGACCAGAAAAGAGAGAGAGCGAGCCACCGGCAGGTGCTGCATTCACGTGGCAAGTTCCGTAGCATGGCCCCAGGAGACGGAGTGGGAGAGAAGCTTCTAGCCAGAGGGCAGTGTCTAGTGTCCAGGTCACCCCTTTGCTGCTCTGTAAAGATGTCCTTCTTCTAACTGTGCCCCCACCCAGTCAGCGCAGGGCATTTGTGTCAGTTCGGTCAGGCAGAGTTGTAATCGAGGTGTCCGCAAACATCCCCCCTGGAAACCCATGTCCACACCTTGATTCGCCACCTAAGGGTGAATTCTTAAGAGCGGGATTGTCAAGTCAAAGGGCATAAGCATTTTTTAAGGTCCTTAATAGAAAATAGTAGAAATTGTTTTCCACCACGTGCCACCCTTGGGTGCTCAAGCTGCTCAGGTGGGTGGGTGCACAAGTAGGTGGTTGCTTGCTGGGGCCCTACTGTCCGTGGCTGCCTGAGGCTTGGCTCATGGTGGACGTGCAAGATATGCTTATGGAATGTGTAATGTGGTCCTGCCCTCTCACTTTATGGGTGGGAAACCGAGGCCAGG